TAAGATATTGTAACAGATTGAGTAAAAGAGTAGTTCATCCTGACAATTTGACGCAATGCATACGCGTGTACACTATTATGAATAAAAAACGAATAAGATAATGCTTAAATATGTAGTCAAATTTTTTACCTCATCATAAATGTATAAGCATTAACAACAATTATCTAGCCTAATAGAAATCCTTAATATGTAGTTGTAAATAACAGTTCTTTGCTCTAACAGTTCTATTTGTTAATCAATATCTTGAATCAATTGTATGAATCAAGCTTAAAATTATTTTTCGAATTCAAGAGCATTTTTACTGTAATTTAAAATGTAAAGTACATTACGAGAAAATATTCATATAATTTTTTTACAAATGCTTCGAATTAACAATACACAGTAGAATTCCAGTTTGCAATGAATTCCAAGTATATGAACTTGGCGCTGAGCTCTTATTACATAAATATATGAACGAGAACTGCAGTGAATCAGCGAATCTGGTTTGTTATATGATCGCACATAGCGTAGATAAACAAGATAAGATCAGAGATATCATAATACTTGCAGCATTAAATAAAGCGACTAAAAATTGGGGAAGCACGAATTTCATCAGCGATTTCTGCAATAAATCGCAATGTAGATAACAATTTGTTAGCATCAGAAAAGTGTATTTGTTAATGATGAATATGTTAATAAAAAGAAACAAGAAAAGAATGTCAATTCTCGAGGAGAATAACGAATTGGAATAACTTCTTTTCTTGTGGTCACAAATAGTAAAGATTTTAAAGACAGTCAAAAATGTAGAAGTTGAGATAAAACATTTGAGAAATTTTTACAGAATTATATTCAAGAGGCGAACTATTATACTTGAGCTGCTTCTTTAATTCCTATAAATTACGTTGAGCTACTGCACTGCTTGAGATACTACAACACATTTTGGACCACTTCTCCAATTCCTATAAAACATTCTAAGTTGCTTCATTAATTCCTATAAAATAATTCGAGCTACTTCTTTCACTTTTATAAAATATTACGAATCGCTTGTCCAAATCCTATAAAATATTTTAGGTCGCTGTAGATGAGTGACTATAACAATCTCTTATTTTCTGCTATTTGGCTACATCGTCTTACTCGTCGTCTTATCATTTTTATGAATTAGTCAATTTTTTTTCAACTTGTTAACTCGGAACAACAACGATATTATTATTAATATGTTAATATTATTGTCGTCTCGATAATATTAACATTATTATTGTCGTCTCGATAATATTAACATATTAATAATAATATCGTTGTTGTTCCGAGTTAACAAGTTGAAAAAAATTGTCTAATTCATAAAAATGATAAGACGAGATTGTTATAGTCACTCGTCTACAGCGACCTAAAATATTTTATAGGATTTGGACAAGCGATTCGAAATATTTTATTATATATATTTCGAAATATATCTATAATACAGTAGAATAATTTATTTCAAACATCGTGCCCTTCGATCTATGTAGATTTCTCAGGCACAGATTCTCGATTTTGGTTGGGAACATAAGAAACAGTAACAAGAACGTTGCTTATAAGGTATCGTCCACATCGTTGTGTACTGAATAGGAATTTCTAAATAATTGTCGAGGGTTAATTATTTTAACGATGTCTCGTAACATTCGTATTATTGTTTCTTTCGTTTACAGCCAAAAACGACAGAGGCGGCACTTATTTTGTCCGAGAAACTGAAATTAAAGAGCACGGTGTTTCAAGAAATTTATTTTTCTATATTGTAAATATATTATTATCGTTCTTTATCACCCTTGTTTATTTAAAACCTTGAACAGGTTATCATTATATACATTGCGCCGATTATTTTCTGCAATTTCTATCAGGAAAAAGCACTTTGATCCGGGAAAGGTTAAGGGATGAGCGTTCCCGACTCGCGCGACCATCGCGTTAACACCTTTCTGGTCGCGAATAGATCACCGGCAAGAGACTTTCTTGAACAAATCATTTAATAACAGGTTTACAGTTAACAGTTTTATTACTAACCCAACAGTCTAAAACATTTCATGATACTGAAGTATGCAAAGAAATTGAAATTAGAAAGTTAAGACTTGAGATATCCTTTACTTTTTTTTAACCATCTTGCATTTTACCGATCCCAATAGGAACATACATAATAAAATAGGTAATTAGTATGTGGAATTAAAAATATTTTTATATTAAATAATCAAATATTCGGCGAAGAAATATTAAGTCTTTTACAGTAATGTCTCTCTTACTGACGCTCAGATTGTCCACTAAAATGGATAATTTTGGAAAAGGAGATACGATTGCTCGAGCCTTGTGACTCGTTTTTTATGGCTATCGATTGTCAACAACTATAAAAACGAGTTGCAAGGCTCGAATAATCGTATCTCCTCTTCCCAAATTGTCCATTTTTGCGCACAATCTGAGCGTCAGTAAGGGAGACATTACTGTATTTCTTTTCAGAAAGGAGAATCATAATCTTGTGATCTAGAGTCGAGTATATGTTTCTTTAAAAATTGCAATGTATGCACAAGGGTCTTGTAGTCGCTTGGTAAATACGTTAACGCCTTTTCAAACAGAATAAATTTTTCAAAATTGGTTCAAAGGACTTGAATATTTTCGAGATGTTACACCGACTACTTTTCTTTGAAATGAGTATACAAAAAGTTTTTTAGATTACGATTGATTGGAATGATAACAAAATTAAAAAATGATATTTTTTTAAACTTTTTTATCTGAGCTCATAACAAAAATGCATTTTGTAGATCACGGTAACTTATATGCATGCTAAAAATTTCATCGAATCCCGTATAATATATTTAGGATATATGACACCCCCCGACGGAATTTTGCTCTAAACCGTAATCATTTTTCACGACCTCTTGCCTTTACCTCTTTTTTTTACGATGTGTAAGTTACATTTTTGAGCAAAACCGCTACGTATCCTTATTTTAGAATGTCCGAAAGTCATGCGGTAATTTTTACGACCTAAAATAATAAATAATTTAATTGTTCATTAATTCCGTTAATTTAAACAACCGTTTAAAGTCGTAGGGGTGTGTCACATCCCTTGCATATTCTAGTAAATTTTTATACGTTTTGTCCAGTAAATGATAAGGTATACATATGTACTTTGAATAAAAAAAGTCTGCCTACACCTTTTAAATCGATATAACTTTTTCCAAATCAGATTAAACTTTTGTTTCATATCGTTTTAAGGATATTTTGACATATTTGAAATATAAAAGAACGAAATGATTCATTAAAATGGAGTATACTATAACGAACTATATATACAGTGGCCCACAAAAGTGTGCATATACCATTTAAAATGCAATAACTTTTTTAAAACTGGGCTAAGTGACCCGAATTTTTTTTTAGATGATAGTGGAACTAGTCTACTAAACGATGACCAAAACGCTTTTATTAAATTTTGCTATTACTTGGAATAACAACAAAAAATAAATACTCTCGTTTTTCAACATTTTCATCTGTACCTATAACGGAAATTTAAAAAAGTCAGTTGAAGATGAAATGAATTATAACAAATTAAAGATAGCAAAAGTCGCAGATTTATCACGATTTTGATAAAAAATTAGAAGAAATTTGCAATTTTTTAAATCTTTCAACGCCTGTAGCTCGAATCTGGATTAACCGATTTCGATCAAATTTTCAGCACGCATATAAGTTACTGAGATCTACGAGATGCATCCTTTAAATTTGTGTTATAGGCTCGGATAAAAAAAGTTGAAAAACGAGAATTTTTTATTTCTCTTTTGTCATCCGAAGTAATAGCAAAATTAAAAAATAGCATTTTAGTCATCGTTTAGTAGGTTAGTCCCTCTACCATCTAAAAAAAGTCAGGTCATTTAGTTGACTTTCGCGATAGCATTCATTCGTTATAGTATACATTGATTGACATTGATCTATAAATTACCGTATATTATTACTAAATGTACAGCACAATTATTACCGAACACAATGATTCCCCACAAAATAAGGTAATACGAAACAATAGAATATAGGAACGTGCAAATACGCAGATATAAATTTAATTTACTAGACTTAAATTTTGTTCATCGGACGTACGAGTAAATTTATAAAAAATTGTAGCGTCGAGGAAGAAGTTGAGTCAACGATTCTACTTTTAGTTTGTCGTATATGAATTTGCTATATATATATATATATATATATATATGTACATGAACTTACTATTATTCTTTATTTCCAGATAACAACATTGAATATGTCATTTCTTATTTTTTGTCCCAGATCTGCCCTCGATTGAGGGTTGATAGGGGTTGGAGTGTTCGCAGTTCGACCGGCTGCCGCGCTAACACTTCGCCAGCATTCCTCCGGCAGGAACTGCTGCTGGTTGCGGGTAGATAGACGCGAAGAAACCGAGTAAAAACAGGGTCGGCAGCGCACAGTCGGGTAGGAGTTGTGCGGCACGCAAGCACAGAGACCCGGTGCTGCGGAGCGCAACTTCGGAACCGAGTGGGTGGGAGCCGCGCGGCCAGTGGAACAGAGTTAAGAGTAACTGAAAGAACGGACTCAGTCTGTCCGCGACCGTCCGTCAAGCAGACGTCTTTGGCGCCGTGTCCTCGAGCTCTCTCGCAGAAGCCACATGTCGTCCGCGGTGCATCGGTTACCGGCATCCTGACCATCATCGATCGCAGTTGATCATCCGGCGTGGATCGCGACTGGTGTCACCGTATACCCGTTTCCGGTTTCCCCGAGCAACCGTGTTTCTGACAGTTCTGTACCGATCTTCATCCGCGCAACAAAGTGACTGACCGTGCGATCAGTGACAAAACGTGAGAATAATGTGGTTGACCAACGTCCTCGCAGGCCTCGTCTGCCTGACTTTTGTCGGATCACCACCGGGGACCACGGATGCCTTCAACGTGGAGACTAAACACACCACGGTTTACCGGTACGACACCACCTATATGTTCGGGTTCGCTGTGTCGGTGTACAGGGATAGACAGAGTCGAGGATGGTGAGTACTTTGTTTTTTTTTTTTTGATTAATTACTTGTAGCTCGTGTCTTTTAACGCGTTCAGTGCGCGACGGTAGGTGACACTAATTTGTGACTAGTTCGCGAAATTCGTTCTCATTGCAAAATGTTCGAAACAACTGAATTTTGCAAGCATGTTTAGGACGCGCAAGTGTTAAAACGCCGGCCGCTATGATGAATTTTAATATTCTAGTCTAAATTTCATTAGACAATTTGGTTAGATTTCGTGCGATTCTTCGGGGTTGGTTTTAGGTACATCATCAACTATTATAGCTGCGCGAGAGATTTTCGGTTTTGATACGTTCGGTTTCGATTTATAGTTTAGTTCGACTGGCTGCGTTCGATTCACGGTCTCATTTTTTGAACAGTGCGCCAAATTGCGGCACAGAAATATATTTTATAGTTCCTAACATTAAACCTACTACGATTAGGTTCTTAGAGGCTCCCTCAAATTTTATAATGAAAACTCTACAAAATTTAGTGGTAAAATTGTATAAATATATAGTTTAGTGTTGAAATTGTATAAAATTTTAATATGTATTAATATTTTTAATAAAATATTAATATTATATAAATACATATTATATAAATATAAAATATTAATATAATATTTTTAATAAAATATTAATATTATATAAATACATATTATATAAATATAAAATATTAATATAATATTTTTAATAAAATATTAATATTATATAAATACATATTATATAAATATAAAATATTAATATAATATTTTTAATAAAATATTAATATTTATATAATTTTAACACTACACTATATATTTATATAATTTTACCACTCCATTTTGTGGACTTTTATACAATATTTATACAATAGTTATCGGTTAAATTTATAAAACAATAATCGTGAAACGTAGTCGACCGATTATGTTCAATTCACGATCTCATATTTTTCGAAAGTGTATCAAATTACGGCACATAAATTCAAAATTGTACGACATATACAAAATTTTATCCGGAGAAGCGTGTAAGGGTTAAAGCTCGAACGTCACAGATGGGTTATCAGTTTGACCTAGGTTTGTAGAACAATGAACCGGTGATATAGATGTCCGTTACTAATCAAATTTTCATAGATGAAGCATATCGCGCGTAGAACACAGAACTATGGATCAGACGTCGGTTTGACTTAGGTTTATTGGAGAATAAACTGCCGATAGACGTTCGTGTTTGCAAGCTTTTTAGTGCACAAATGATACAAAACTCAACTTTATAGATCGTGGGTTGATACAAGTGTTTGTTGGCAGGGACGAGATGTGGAATAGAACTAGACTATTATTCAGTATAAATTTAGCAAACTGTTTCGAAATGTGACTTTATTGTGAGTTGTGTACGGGGCGTCTTCCCGCGAGCTCGGCATTGACTATAATGATCGAGAGACTCCTTGACTCACACATTGTATTGATCGTCGATGTCATTGTCACCTTTGCACAAGTTTAACCCGAGAAAGATAACCTACGTCGCAGAGGCGCCTGCGAAGACTGTTGATTTTTGTTAATTTTTCATAGAGGTCTAGTGATTTAAGTTTAAAATTACTTAAAATATAAAAAAATATAATATAAATGCATTTTATTTTTACAATAATGCCAAACCTTTAAAATGACTAGATTAACTTAAATAAATATCCATTGTTAGTATAAAATTGACGCCTTAGAAAAGCATGCGCCTCTGAAGCGTATGGTTATCTTTTACGTACGTTGTCATATGGTTATCTTTCTAGGGTTAAAAGAAGTAAACTAGGAGCAGATTTCCAAAAATATTCGTTTTACCTAATCCGGAACTCTGAAAGATGTATTGAAGATCTTCATCTAATAAGATCTATTAAATCGTTTTTTAACGATCTTTATAGACCGAGATCATCAGTTTGATCTAGATTTATGAAATCATAGGCTGGTGACAGATGCTTCTTTTCAGAGAAAGTAATAATGTGTCGGAACCAGCGAAAATTTTTGGAAACGACTGCTGATTTACCGATGTTAGAATTTTGAAGTATTATTGTAGAATCTCGGTCGTTATTAGCTTCCAATTGATTATGTTTGTCTCAATTCGTGGAAATGTTAATTTAGAAATTGATTGGCTGTGTGTTTTGGAGAAATTAGTATCGTTGCATCGCGTGATCTAAACTAGATAAATTTCATTGAACTCCGATTCAATTCCGTTTGGAACAGTAGCTTGTATCGATGTTCGCCCAAAGTCGCTTCAGGATTTTCATGTTGACAGATTTTTGCGAGGAAACATAAATAAATGTTTCTGCCTCTTAACAGGTTTGAAAAACGTTTCACCAAATAATAAATATCACGCATGAGAATATTTATACTGATTATGTGGAACATTAATGCTTGAAACTTGTGTAAAACGTTTAAACCAGTAATTTTAGTATACGCAATTTTTATCGAGAGTCCTTTTCCGCAAAATGTTTCAAAAATAAAATCCATTAGAATTTAATATATTAGAAGATTGTGTATTTGTAGATAGTGTTCAAATAAGTATCGATCTTTATGCAGTTATGGGGCATCTGTGGATATTTGAAATGCAAGAAAATTTATAAATCAACAAGATCCAATAGCATTTTTATTTCGTTCTTGCAATAAGTAATTCTTTTAATCGACAAAGAAAATGTTCCTTCTATTCTGATTTTTGTAAAATAACGTGTGAAGATAAGAATTTCCATGAAGATTCGCGGTCTAGGTATTCGCGTAGGATTTTGTACAGAGCTTTCTCCGAAATAAATTCACTTCGTTCCCAACGAGAGGAAATGATAAAATGGCGTGTTGAAAATTCCGTGTCGCAATTCGCGAATTCTATGTTGCAATTTATCGACACGTTACGCGACGGTAGCGCATGTAAATCGCATTGTAGAAATGGCGTGCGACGGAGAACGGTACCACGAAAATCCAGAACCGGGATTCGCAAAGTTTATTGAAACATAAACGACAGTAGTACTCCTACGAGTTTAGGACGACCACGCTCTCCTTTTAAGTCCTCGTCCCAGAAACTCGCGGCAAGTAGCTTCCACCATTCCGACGTGTTGGTTGGAACTTCGGTAATGAAATATCGGCTTTCATTTCATCGCGACGACTGCGAAACACCGCAATTTCTTCTTTCGCAAACGCGTGCCGGTATTGAGATATTAGGTCCGATCTGTGCAATTACGCTCCTACCGGATTTCAAATTGATCCACGATGTGTTTATCATCCCACTGGGAGATCTGGCATCGATAAAACACCCGTTTCCTCTCGGAGGTTTACTCATTCTTCAAGCATCTAACAGTTTGTACGTCCTCTTTTTTTTATTTAAGCATGTCAAATCCACAACGGCTTATTTAGCCACATTTTACAAATATGGAGAGAGAGAGAGGAACACGTTCCCATGAAAGTAATAAGCTATAATAAATACTCATATTTGCAATTAACGGTCTTCGAAGAAGAAAATTTAATTAAAAAATTTAGTTACATTAATAATTTAACGGTAACCGATAGCTTTTAATTAAATTATTAAATCCAGCAAAATATCGTTGTCTTTGGTTCTAAATAACTTCAACTGAGTGTTCAAAACATGTTTGGAAAATAAAGTTAATTTAGAAATCATTATCAAACAATGATCCCTTTCAGTTCTATTATGTGGTGTGCAACATGGCGGCACGCCGTGTAGTCATTGAATTTTGAAATCAATCGCAATAATTTCATCGAGTTTCGTTAAACTGGAACTTGCGTTAAACCTTTTATTGTCATAAAAACTTTTATTGTTATAAAACCTTTTATTGTCATAAAAACTTTTATGGTTATAAAACCTTTTATTGTTATAAAAACTATCATCTTTAATTTTCGGTTTAGTGTGAACATTTTTATCAATTCCTATCAATTTGTAATTACCTGGACAATTTGCGTTGCTTCAATAATTCACATGTAATGAGATCTAACCGAAAACATAGTAAGAGTTTCGAGAAGATTCCAATAAATGGGTCGATCTTCTGAATCAACCAGTCGCTCATTTTTTTAAACGCGTTTACAACAATGCTATCGTGTACAATCCTCCTCAGTGACAAGAGCTGTTCTCGAAACAAAGGATATCCCAGTCGGATATCTCTTCGGACGTTCGATGACAGTAGCTCGGGACGAACAGTAGGTGAAATAACAGGTGCCTGGACAAGCTTTGGTCCGTTCTCCATTAATGTCTCCTCAGGGACCAAGCGGGTTCTCCGGTTTCATTGCGCTCTCCTAACCACTCGGCGACGATAAACTTTCATTTGCGGGCGATGAGCGTGATCAAGCGCCGCGGCGCCGCACAGCGGGGTGAAGTGACGTCAAAATCGAAGAAATTTTGATAGGTATATCATATCTATATAATAATGATTTACAAATATCTATACAATAGTACCAAAATTATGGTACTTCCAGGAAATAAGAGGTTCCTGAGGCCATTCGAAGTAACTTTTTCCTTTACAAAAATTTTCTCCGAGGCATCGTTCACGAGTTATTGCGAAAAAACACTGACCAATGAGAGGCGAGCTCGGCTGCCGCTCAGTTCCAGCGATTGGCTCGGCCGGCTAGTACCAGGCGAGCTCGTCTCTCATTGGTCACTGTTTTTCATTAATAACTCGTAAACAAAGCCGCGGATTGCATTTTCGCTAAGGAAAAAGTTATTTCAAATCACCTCAGGAACCCTTCAATTCCTGGAAGTAACATAATTTTGGGACACCCTGTACGTATATAATAATGATTTTCTTTAAACTAAAGCTGAAATGTTGTAAAATAAGCGAGAAATCGCGAGAATGTAGTATGAACATTTTTTAACCTCGAGAATTTATGTTAAACGTGAAATATGCCCACAAAATTGTGATTTATTCAATGTCATGTACAGTTCGATTTTTTTAATGACCTGTTATATATCATTTATTGTAGGTTTTGATATGCTGGTTTCAAGTTTGATCTGCCATAAAAACCTGCAAAACTGATCTAC